CATAAGAAGAGGACTTGAACAAACCACACTTCACCAGAACTGCATAAAGTTGAGAGCAGCTCAGTCTGAACATCCCCCATGAGGAAGAGCTGGTACTGTGGATGGGCACAGGGTATCCAGAAGCCTGGAGCAGTACCCTCAGCAGGACCTTGGATACTGTGCAGCCAACACATATCTGAGATGAAACATTTTCCAGCTATTTCAACAGATCTTTCTCTTCTCTGAACTACAGTTATTGTTATTTTCAGTCCTATTCTGTTCAGTTAATTGTGCTCCATTTGATAAAATCATAAATTTCAAGGTGGTAATCGTTTCAGGTATATTGGTCTTGTCTTCCTAACTAGACTGCAAATGCTTGAATTTATGGGCAAGAATCAAGGCCTGGTTCTTTATATAAATCCCTCAGCCCAATGCTCAATGCATAAAAGTGTTCAGTTCATTGTTAATTAAATTTCAAGGACAAATTGAAAAAATAATCAAGGATAGAATCATAAATCATAACTATAAAACCATTAAAAGACACGATAACCAGGTCTCAAGAAAATATTAACAATTACATTAAAACTTTTTTTCCTGAAATTACTCAATTTCACTGATTTAAAAGAATGTCATTTATTGAACAAATATTTATTACCATCAACCAGGTGCCAGGCAACATTCTTGACGTGAATAAGACAAACAGAAATCACTGCCCTTAGGCTAGTGTAAATTGCATGAAAACTATCACTGTTGCATTTTCCAGGATCCTATCTCCACACAAAGTTAAAGATACATGTAGATTTTAACAAAGGCAATGCTATACCTCAGCAAATTTTTCAAAGGCCCAAATTCTATATACAAATATGTCCACTACATTCTATAGAACTTTCCAAGGATAAAACTTGAAGGATAGGCTGCTGGGGTTAGGAATTAGCATTACTACACAACATTTAAATCAAGGACCCAAGACATTCCCTAGCCTTAGAGGAAGAAGGGTCAGTACCTAAATTTGACCCTTCTTCAGTTGGCTTTATTAACACATTGAAAGGACTATCACAGGACTGGTATGTGTGTAGCTGGTATTGAGATGTGCTGTAAGTATGAAACACACATGATTTTGAAGTCTTATTACCAAAACAATGCAAATGATCTCATTAATAATTTAATGGTATCTACTGCATGTTAAAGTTATACTTTAGGTATAGTATAAATAATTTACTAACAATTTACAAATATTACATGCTGAAATATTTTCAATATATTCGATTAGGTACATTTTAAAAATTAATTTCACCTGTTTCTTTTTACTCTTTAAAAAAAGGCAACTACCAGAAAATTGTAAATTACACATGTGATTCACTGTACAGTTCCATATCGTCAGCGTTTTTTCAAAGACATAAAACACCATGCATTTATAGATGAAGTCCTCTTTAACACTTCTTGACCCAAACCTGACTTTAATAAATTTGATATGCTCACTTCTATATTTTATGCTTTACTATAAAATGTGCATCCATAAATAATATATTGATTTATCTTTAAAACTCACATTGTAAAATACACATTTTACTCATTCTGAACTTTTGTTCACTTTTCATTACTTTTATAATCTAACCATATTGAGTACCTACTGCTCTGGTTTATTTAAGTGTTGCCTAGCGATCTATTTGTGACTATATCACAATTTATTTATCCACTAAAAAGTACTTATTTAGGCAGAGATTCTTTTATTGAGTTAAAAAATCTTATGTAAAAATGTTCAGAAACAGAAAGGACTATTACGTTCATCTGTGCACCTTTCCTGCCTTCTTTCTTCAGTGGTACTGGAGTTTGAACTCAGGCCTTCTTGAGAGTAAGCCCTCAACCACTTGAGCCATGTTCCCAATCCTTTTTGCTTCAGTTTGTTTTTCAGATAGAGTCTTGTGCTTTTTTCAAATGCGCCTTTGACTGTAATCCTCCCGCCTCTGCCTCTGCCTCCCATGCAGTTGGGATTACATGCATGAGCCACCACACCTGACCATATGTGCAGGTTTCTTAAGCTATGGTTCACAGACCATGAATGAGCTTTAGGAGGTCAAAGAGATTTGAGTGTGAGGGAGAATGAGCACTTTCTACACAAAAGGACAAAGCTTTGACTATTTTCTTAAGGGGGTACATATGCTGAATAATTACTTGCCCTGTGAGGGTTGAGAACCTGTGGTCTAGCTCCACTTTCTCATTTGATATATAGTGAGACTGAGGTCAAGGTTAAGTAATTTATACGAAATCATAGTGATAATAGAGCCTGTTCATAGACTCAGGTCTATGGATATTATTGCCTTTCAAATTGCTGGGGTTTTGTGCTTGCTTGTTTATTGATATCTTATATAATACAATGTGAATTAAGTATCTTTCGCTTTTTACTGTAGTCACTATTTTTTCCTATTAATTATTATTCATTGCTGGGGAAGAGATGGTAAAATTAATACACTCTTACATTATGAGTGGCATCGGTATAGTTTTTTGGGAAATGTAATTTTTATATTGAGAAAATTTTCTAAAATTGGACAAAGCCACATACACAAAATGTCAAAATATTACTTGTAATAGTGGAAAATATCCATTTATAGGGTAATAAATCATGATGTGCACACCAATTGACTATGATATAGACAATTAAAATTAAGCTTTTATAAGATGTTACACAATAAGAGAAAGTACAACATAATGAAAAGTGAAAAGGGACACAGAATTTAATTATGATTGCAACTTTGTAAAAAGTCTGAGTAGGAGAAAAAATATAAATACAATAAATGATAATGGCATTTCTTGCTCTTTTCTTAATGCCAAATCTCAGGTAATACAGTTATGGACATATGTTTAAAAGATAAATAAAAATACTACTGGCCCCAATGCAGTGTATTTTAATGAGAATATTACCACAGATTTGTCATCGTAAAAACATTCAGACTTTCCTTTTTTGTAAGCATTACTATACTATCTTCAGAATTACATATACGACTACCAAATTACTGATTGGTCAATTGTACTTACAAGTCAGTTGGCCAAAAAGCTACTCAATTTTCATAGATTTTTAAATTGTTCTTAAATAACTAGAATTGGTTCCTACATTTACCTGACAAAAATAATCACTTTCTAATCATGTTATCTTTGAAATCGGGAAGACATTTTTTCAAAAACCGGGTTTCCTTTTCAATGTTTTGATGTTTAAATTCATTACTTTAAATATTTTAAATTCGTTATTTTAAATTCATGAGTTAAGCATTTCCTTAAGAAGTTTCTTAAAATTCTTAGGATCTTGTCATATGTTTTTATTCCAATATTTCGTTATATCAAACGAAATAAGCATGTGTTTCTCTAAAATCAATTCATTTCCAGTTTCCACGCACACACAAATATTTTTGTTTCTTTCCTTTCCGGTCAATAAACATTTATACTGACATACATACATTTTCCCCCCACGTTTGCACAGGAGCTAAGCCAGCAGGGGGCGAAATACAGAGGGAATAAATTTGACAAGCCATATAGATTTTTCTCACTTTGGTGAGTGAGCAATAACAAAAAATCCAGCATCACCACGAAGCTATTGGTACTCCAATTTAAAGTGATGTGATGTCCGTGTATCCTGCAGGGACTGAGTTGTAAAAGACAAATGCGGGTGTGTTTTCGCGCTCCGAGTTAACTTGTCTAGGACATTGCAGAGGCGGATGGACGGTGACAAACTGCTATTGTCCTCATCTTTCCCCTGATTTCTACCATTCCCCCACTCAAAGGGTGGACTCTTCTTTGTGGCTGAAGGGTGTTTTCCCTCCTTGATTTTTTGTTTTTTTCCCCGTAGCTGCTGAGCTTTGCCGTTTTGGAACTATTTTAAATTATTCACATAACTGATGCAGAGGTCTGGCAAACGTGGGCAGAATGAGGCGCCGGGAGGCTCACTACTTGTAGGGCAGAAGCGGCCTCATCCCCTCGACAGCAATAACCCTGCTGCCGGGAAGTCTCATTTTTACCGCGGCAGGTGTCCTGACAGATACTCATAATAAAGGAAGGGAAAGGCTGCAAGACCACTGAGGATGGGATAACCAGTTATGACCTCTGCTAGACAAATGCGTTTGAATACACAAGCTGATTTGAAGAATCTGTGAAAGACACCCACCATCCCTAAAAGTTAAAAACAACAAAAACAAGAACAAAAAAACCACGGCCACTTTCTCCATTCGTCAGCAAAATTCCGGATTCATTATTTTGTCAAAGACAGTTTGCGACTGCTTTCTCACTTTAAATTCGATTTATCACAATCCCTTCTTTGTTATTTGTTAACTATCAGCTTCCTCTTCGGTTAGCTTACGTAAAAAGAGGAAGTAACTTAAACCGTGAATAAAAAAAAAAAAAGTCGCTTTCGGGGCGAAAAGGGCAAGCTGATGAATGCTGTCTAGCAGGTTTGGGGTAGAGAAGATCTGATTCTGTGTTTCCAAACCTTTCCAGTTTTGTTTGAAGAATGAGAGACTTAACCCCGTCCTGGGCTGAACGGTAATCGTTAACTGGCGGAGGAGAGCCCGCCTCTCGCCCAGAGCGACGCCTCGGCGGGCGGCAGGAGGACGTCTACCCCACACTTGGGTGACTCGCAAGTAAGTAAAGGAAAGGGCAGTTTGCCCGCACCCAAAATGGCGGCCGGCGCTCGGCACGACGGCGCCTGCGCAGGGGTAAGTGTTCTGTGACACTAATTCCCCCAGAGTGTCCTCCCCCGCCCCCAGCACCCACTAGCGCCCGGCCCCGACCTAGCCACCTGCGCCCGGAAATGACGTATCCGAGGCAGCGGTTCCCCCGCTGCATGATGGGAGAGTGTGTGGAGTGGGCGGGGGGTCTCCGCGGAGGAGGAGGCGGAGGAGGCGGCGGCGGCGGAAGAGGGCGGAGGGTAGTGGGATGGGGGTCCCGCGGCAGCACTGAAACTCCGGGTGGGCGTCCATGGCGCTGCTGCGCTGACAGGGCTGGGAGCAGCCTGCCTTCCTCTTTCCCCAGCTCTGCGTCCGAATAGCCGGTCCTTCCCCGGGGAGCCAGTTCCTCCCCGGGCCCCTGAGCCATGCCCATCGCGGCCGCCCCGGACGAACCAGGTAAGCGCTGCCGCTCCGCTTCCCCCGAGCCGCGCGGGGGAAGAGGATGAGGGGACCCAGTCCGGCCCACCAGCCGGCCCTTCACCCCGGCCTGAAGCACCTGCCGGCCGCGGAGCCGGGATTGCGGGGACGGAGCCGGCTCTGCGGGCCTGCGGGTTTCGGACTCGGGCTCTGTGCTCTCTTCCGCGGCGGGTGCGAGAACGCCGCTGGCGGTGCCTGAAGTGCACGGCACGGTCCTCGCCACCCCGGGCTCCGGCCGGGGGAGTGTGAGCCGTTCCTTGCCCGGCCTCCGCCGGCTCGCCCTGCGCTTCCACCTGCTTGCAGCTCCGCGCCGGCCGCTCCCACCCGGGAGCTGCTGAGAAGTTTGGGGCTTTGCTCCGGCTTCCTCCTTCGCCCTCCCCCTCCCTCGTGACAGGTGTAAACACTGCCTGCTTCACCCAGGCCCGAGGCCGGCGGCGACCGGAGCCTCCCGCCTCCGAGGGTCTCTAAAGCAAGTGGATTTGAATCCGACAGGCAGAGGAGACGGCTCCCAAAGCCATGCACCCCTTTCTGGGAGAACCTTTCCTGCGCTCTCCTTGTACACCTCAAGAAGTCATCTGCGCCTTCTTCCCCAGATTGCTTTCGAAAGTTGGACCATTATGCATTAAGCGCCCGGCTTGGCAGGTGCTGCGCCTTGTTTTGCTTGGGGCAGAGACAGAGAGGGTGAATGGTGGTGGCTTTTTTTTTTCTTTAAAAAAGTGGTGAGAATGGGTTTTTGTCCTTGTTGGTATATTGAAGTTATAGCTTGGTTTCCAACCTAATCTACTGGGGCTGAGGAAAGGACTGACTCATACATGTAAATATTTTAGGGGTAGGGGGCTGAAACATGCAACGGTTCCTAAAGTTCTCACTTTAGGAGAAGTAAAATAGAACTTTACTCATAAACTTTTCCTTAGGCATAAATCTCTTTTCCACAGGCTACATTCTCCTACTCCGAGGGCTTTTGCGGGGGAAGGGGGAAGCGAGTGCACAGTTTATCTTTGATGTTACGTTGAATTGTTGCTTTCAGTTAAACTCTTAGAGAATATGTGCTAAACTCCAGGGGAAACAAATGTTTCAACTTTGTTGCGTTGATATAATTAGGACGGTTTACCTACATTTTATTTGCTTTACCAGCTTAAATGTTAGCTTTTGTAGTAGTTATTTAGAACACTTTGTATATTTATTTAAACAAGGTATCTGTGTTAGTCTTCTAAATTTTGTCCATGGAGATATTGCACCTGAATTCAAAGATCCTGCTTAAAAATTTCTGGAACGGCCAATAGGAAAAGGGGACCAGGAACTAGAGAAAAGGTGAGATCAAAAAGAATTAACCTAGAAGGTAACACACACGCACAGGAAATCAATGTGAGTCAACTCCCTGTATAGCTATCCTTATCTTAACCAGCAAAAACCCTTGTTCCTCCCTATTATTGCTTATACTCTCTTCAATAAAATTAGAGATAAAGGCAAAATAGTTTCTGCAGGGTATTGAGGTGGTAGGGGGGAGAGGGAGGGGGCGGAGTGGGTGGTAAGGGAGGGAGTGGGGGCAGGGGGGAGAAATGACCCAAGCCTTGTATGCACATATGAATGATAAAATAAAAAAAAAATTTCTGGCCCGGAAAATGTTACCTACTAAATGCTTATTAGAGCTAGTTATTCCTCTGTGTATGTAGCAGTTGGTCTTCAAAGCACAGATATATTTTTAAATCATTTTAAAAAAAAAACCTCTGGAAAGAAATTCACTGGAATTCAAATAATATGTAGGGCACTTGAGTTTTGATGTTTTCAGATCTTTTGGTCTAGAGACTATAATAAAAATAATCTATGCCAAAGCAAAGATAATGTGTCTGTAATCACATTGATAAATTTTGTAGAATCCAGTTGTCTTTATGAAAATCACATAATCTAGGTGAATCCTATTATAAAACATCATTTTAAATTTTAATTTGTTCTGCTTACAGTTAGTTAAAAAAACTAGATGAGAAAAGTAGTGTAATTTAATAAGTACAGGATGTTTTTATTTGGTGTGAAATTTAAAATGCCTCCCTCAATAGGCAAAAAAGTCTGAATAGTATCTCATTGCAGAATTGCCCCTTGTCTCCCAGGCCTCCCCTCAAATCTCATAAAAGGAGGCTGCTAAGTATTTAGATATTTTTAAATCATCATGAATTATTTAGGCTAAATATATTCTAATTTAATGTTAACTAATTTGTAAATAAAAAAAGGCTTTTCTCTCTCTATTCTTACCATTTTCAATTCCTTTTTCCATCCTGAATTTCATACTTTTTTGTTTTAATACAATTTAATTTTGAAAATATCTGCAGCTATGGATTTTACACAGGATTTTTCTAAATCAGTATATGTATGTGTGTATATGTAAATACAATCACAGGTCCTTTGCAGCTTTGCATGGTTATTTGCTAATATGATGTACACTGCTTCCTATAAGCAAGATATTTTAGCTTTTTGTTTTGTCATGCTAAGGAGCAAACCCAGGACCCAGCACATGCTAAGCAAGTACTCTTCCACTGAGCTACACTCCCCATACAACAAGATACCTTTTAAAAATGCTTTCTGCGCAGTATTAATTCATTTAATAGTTACACCAAGCATAAAAGGTAGTAGGTAATGTTACCTCCATTTTTCAGAGGAGACTGAGACACAAAGATGATAACTTGCCTACAGCAAAGAGTAGGTAAGTGAAAGATCCAGTTATTATATCTATTATATGATCATTTATATAGTTTTAAAACATGCAAAAATTTATTTGCTGTGATTCATAGAGTGTGTAGCAAAAGTATAAAAATACGTATGGGCTGGGGGGGAGGGGTAGCTCAATGTTAGAGCCTCGCCTAGCGAGGCCCTGGATTTGATTCCTAGCACTGCACACAAAAGCATAGGAATGATAGACATCAAATGAGAATAAAAGTTAACCTCTGGAAAACTGGAGAAGGATAAAGGTTCTAGGAGAGTCCCATTAATTTCAAACTGATCTTTCCTCTCTTTAAAAGAAATCTGAAGCATATTTGGTAAGAGATTCAGAATTAACAAACACAGCTGCATGGTGGGAATGAATGATCATTCATTTTTCCCCCTAAGCTTTGTTGTATGCTTGAAATCCTTCATGATAATATAGAAAGATTAGGTATTTAATTGCAAAACATAATGTTCTTTCAGCATTGCATGTTTGATAAGAGTATAGAGAGAGCATGTTACTTTGTATTGACTTCGTTTTAAAATACAAGGAGCTTTTAAGTTAAAAATATTTGAATTAAGAATTGTTAGCAGTTGGGCATGGTGGTGTTCATCTGTAATCCCAGCACTCAGGAGGCAGAGGTTCTTGAGTTCAAAACCAAGTTGGGCTACTCAGGGAGACCCAGTCTCAAAAAAAGGAAGGAGGGGGGTAGGGCTACAGGCTTGGCTCAACGCACACAAGGCCCTGAGTTCAATCAGAGAAGGAGAGAAAGAGATTTATTTAGAAGGAAAGACAAACCAAATAATCATCCAGAAAATATATAACTATATCTCTGGTAATTGTTTGTGAAAATAAACAAGGATAGTTCTGCTTATGCAAAAATGAAGTATATAAACTGTTCTTACTCTGTTTGCTAAGGATAACTAGAACGCTGCACTCCTGCATATAAGATACAAATACAAAAACTCTGAAAATTGGAGAGAATGTGAATGAACTAGAACTCAAGGGACCTAAAGAACAACAGGGTTGTGAATGTTCCGAGATTTGTTTTTGTCTCATACAACCCGATTTTCTTACAGAAAACTGTGAATCAAGAAACACTAGCAGGGCTAGGGGTATGGCTCAGTAGACTAGAGCACCTGCCTAGTAAGTACAAGGCCCTGAGTTCAAATCCTAGTACCACAGAAGAAAGAGGAAGGGAGAGGAGAGAGAGAAAGAGAGAGAGAGAGAGATGTTAGCTTCTCCAGATTCCTCTGCATTAACTTCTCTTCTGGGCACACCTCTAATTGCTGCAACCATCTCAACAGCCCTGTATGACACTTCTGCTTTCTATTTCTGGTCATACCCTAGGTAGGGACTGATAGATCTCTGGATTAGACCAATTGTCTGGGAAAGAGAAAAGGCTAGAAACTTCAGTGGGGAGGAAGAGAGGAAAACAGATTTAAGATTCCTATCCTCGTGAGTCAGTACCTCTCGTATTCCAAATAGCTAACTCAAAAGCAAGCCTTTTGAAGATTAATCACTAATAGATTAAAAGTTGTCAAAAAAAAAGTTGTCTATATACTCAGAGGGTGAGTGCGCAGTGTTGGAGACTCTATATAAGGATTCTAGTGACTTTAGATTTTTTACTATGTGAGGTGGGACACTATTGTTTTGTTTTTGCAGTGCTGGGGTTTGAACTCAGCCTACATCTTGAGCCACTCCACCAGCCCTTTTTTTTTGTGTGTTTGTGCGATGGGTTTTTTTTTTGATGTAGGATTTAAAAACTATTTGCCCAGGCTGGCTTTAAACCGTAATCCTCCTGATCTCTGCCTCCTGAGTAACTATGATTTCAGATGTGAGCCCCCAGTGACTGGCTATTGCACCGTTTCTGAGTGAAGGTGCTTTAAAAGGATCTGTGGCTGGGCTGGGGTGTGTGGCTTAAGTGGTAGAATACTGCTCAGCAAACTTAAGGCCCTAACTTCAAACCCCAGTACTGCCAAAACAAAAGAATCTGTTGGGGTTGTGGTGTGAACTTGTGGGTGGTAGAGTATGTGCTTAGCATGTGTAATAACCCTGGGTTCAATCCCCAACACCCCCAAAAATAAAAGGATCTGTCTGGCTGATGTATAGAAAATAGACTAGGAGTGCAAGCAGAAAGACTGTAACAGTGATTTAGTTCAGAAATTGTAGTGGCTAGAACCATGGTAGTAGCAGTAGAGGTAAAGAGTGGTGATACAACAGTTTCTTGAATTGAACCTCCAGTAATCTCTCCATTGCTAAATTCAGAAAATTTATAGAGGTA